ATATTTTAGTCCCTCTTGTAGGCTGTAATGAATCTGCTGTTTCTACATCCTAGGAGGTTTTCACTTACTTTCCCCATGATAATTTTAATACATGGAACCATTATTAACTGAATTAAGAATAAGTAAATGAGCAGTAAAAAAAAAATACAGAAAAATTACAGGTGCCTGTGGTGAGTAAGATAATAACTAGGTAAAAGTATATGAAATAATTACAGTGTTTGAACGGCAGAGCCGGCATGAGGAAAATGACTCAGTGGAATATTAAGCCTGCTGTTGGCAGGGTGGAAAGGCTGGAGCCTACACACTGTGGCCTCCACCGCTTCGGATTCTGAGCCCTAGTGCATCACTGAAAACAGATCTAATTTGTCCTCAGCTATGTTCATGTGATGCCAAAGCAGCTGGTCCAATTCACAGATGATTTAGCCATTTTGATTTAACTGTGTGATCCTGTAGATTAAATGCCCAGTAACTAAAAGGTTCTGTTTAAAAGACGTGCAGACATTTGACATCTGTGTAGATTTAGTGAACCTTGTGACACTGAGTCCAAACATTCTAGAGTGTATCTCTGATCTGTATTTGAGATCTCAACAGAAGGGACTTTCAAGTAATTTAGGTAAAGGATTTTAAACAACTGTGATTTTTTTTTTACTTTTTTTTAATTGAGTTATAGATAGAATTCCAGTGTTCTTGAATTGTTTAAGGTAAAGTCCATCAGTACTCATTTGAGGCTTATTGTTGCCTGTACCCAGTCCTTGACCAGAAAATGTATATTTACAATGAATTCAAGACATGGTTCCTGCTGTTAAGGATTCTGATTTAATGCTTCCATTGGGTGAAAATCTTATGACCATAACAACAGAAATCTCAAGTTAGGATCTGAATGGTCAGTAGATTTAAGAATATTTGGTTAGTAGTGGTGAGCTACATCTTTCTAAGTTGATCAGTGTTGGACAAGAGAACTTGTTGAAACTATAGCAGAAAGAGTCTAGCTCAGACATGAGAAATCCCATACCTCCCTGACTACCAGATTGTCAAGGCTGCACCAGTGAACTCTTGATTTTCTGTAAGTGCTTTGTCTTTTTGAGGATTTGGGGGGAATCAATTTTTGTATCTCAGATGGATTTCCCTGTTAACCAACAAACTTCTAAGTCACCTACTTCTGCTACATAACATACATAAGCATAAATAAATCTTAACATCAGACAAAATACAACTGTATGGGTAAGCAGAGTACTGGAGAGAGAAATAAAAGAATTGAGATCTAGTCCTAAGAATTCCATTAATAAATTTGGGAAAATCACTTAGCCTCATTGTATCTCAGTTTCCTTACCTCTGAAATGGTGAAGCTGATTGCAACTCATAGATTTATGATTCTGTGAATCATCTAAAATCAGCTCAGTGTGTTAGTGATAAATTTGGCCACTTCAACAATTATGGTCTTTTCTTAATTGGGTTTAAAATAATAATTCTAAATTCTCTTTCAATTAGCCCTTTATGAATTACCACAACCATGTTATCTTCCTGTGTCTTTTCTACCCATAAAAATTCAAGCATAACCATATTGCTTCTTACCTGAACCCAACTGTCATGTTATCAGGAGTCATGGCCTTATTTATTACAAGTATGTCCTGATGATTTGAACGTCATTGGATTATTATGTATTAATTTTCTCAACTAATCTGCTCTTCATATAGACATTGGCCCATATGTATTTCAGATACTGTTCTTCAGATATTAAAGTATCTTCTGTATGTGGTATGCACTGCTAATCCTTTCTAAATTGTTATTCATCCCGGAGAAGAGTTAGATTTTTATTCTATGTATGACTTTCTCTATCAAGTGGTTAATGCATTGCTCCAGTTTTAGCCAGAGAAGGTATAGTGGTTGCTGCAACCTTCCTGATGCGTTTGAATTTGTGAACATAATTATATTTGAAATGTTACTCCTTTTGGTTGCATTTTTGACATGTTAAGACCAGGGATCTAGTAGGATGTTCTTATTCTTTGGCTGCTATTTGAAGGGAATATAATTTTTTCTCTCTCCCTGCATTTTTTATAGGAGTTAAATAAAATCTGAAAAATTACATGAATCTTCTAAAGCTGGGAATATTGTCATGGGAACAAATAGAAGCCCCAGCCTCTCACCAAGTCCAAGTCAAGATAACCTGAAAGTAACCATTTCATGTATAATCACTTCCATAAAGCCTGTTCTGTGTCCCTTAAAAATCTGATTCAATAGACTGTTCAGGAATGGAACACTGTGTTCCCTGTGAAGGGCAGAATCCTTGAGCACATGCCTGGATTCAGATTTCAAAGTAGTATTACCCCTACCTTCAAAAACATCTGTAAGGGGAAAAGCAAGACTTTGTGAAACAAATCAGTGCCTACTTTTATTTTTTCCAGAGACAAAGCGATGAACTTCCAAGAGAAAAGAAAGCAAGCCTCTTCCTGGTCTCTCTGGATTAGGTCAGTTCTAGCTCTCAGGAGGCTGTGAAGTTGCTCATGAATAGCAGAGGGCACCCAGCGCTGGTTTAGGTACTGGTCAGCTCTCAGCTCTGGGAAACTTAGAACTTTGGGGGAAAAAAAACAAAAACATCTCTTCCAATGGGATTTTTGCTTTCCAGATGTAATTATTCCTACAATTTCATGAATTCAACCACTAATGTCTAAGTCACTGTGGCTATAGTTTGGAGTCATGGGGGTAGTGATAACAGAGAGAGCCCTGTCTGGATTTGTAAGCCCTGCCATTACTCACTGAACAACCTTGAGCAGATTTCTTCTCTCTGACCTGTTTCCTCATCTGTAAATATTTTCCCTACAGGTTTAGAGAGACCATTAAATGATCATGTGAGCACATTGAGCATATTTATTATAAAGCTACAAGCATTTGAAGTGTTATCCTGTTCCTCCTTCCAATCACATATTCTATCTTTTATTACAGACAAAAAACAGCTTTCCCAAGCAGGAAAGAAGTCAAGAAAAATCTTTGTCCCAACCCACAGAGATAATGTAGATTCAGTTATCCTATCGTATGGCCTTACAGATTGGCCACAGTGTGCTGTTGATATCACTGTATCCAACACAAGCATTTGCATTGCTTCCTTGAGACCAAGTAAAGACAACCTGGAAAGTTAGAATGATATCTACTTGATATCAACACAATACTTCAAACCATTCCAATCTCATACAAGTAGGAAAGAATCAACCAATCTCTCTCCCACTCTCTCTCTCTGACTCTTGGGCAAACTAGTACAAATTGATTAGTTAAGAATTTTTCATTTGGTATTGCCATGTGCCTGATTATGCTGGTAGGTACCTTAAAAGATAGTGGTAAAATGTAGTGCCCAGCATTGTAATTCTTTGGAAAGAAAAACTGAGTTATGAGTGCATACAACCAAGAAAACAAAGAGTTAATCAGAAAAGAAATAATTTTCACATAATGTGATCTTTCTTCCCTTTTTTTTTATTGTAAGCTCAGAGAGAATTGTGGCAATACAGGTTGAGCAATTTTCTTTTTTACGAATCCTGTACTCAATCTATGAAAGCCATTTTGCAACCCATTTACATGCAGTAAACCTTTGCTTTAAGGTTCCTGTCATTTACCTTGATCGTGATTATTTATAGTCCCTTTAGGAAAGGCCCTTTACTGGTTTAGCTCTCAAGCACAGCACTGTCATGAGGCAGTTTTCTACAGTGACTTTTAAGTCATGGTCATAAGCTAAAGCACGGTCAGTCTTAGACCAGCCATGAGGCATGGGGGTGTTGTGTAATGGGGAAGAAAACTAGTTGGCATTGGGAGTCCTGGATTTGAAACCAACTCTGCCCTCCTGCTATGTAATCCTGGCCATTTATGTTTCTTTACTGTCAGTTTGCTCACCTGTAGAAGGGGAATGATGCTTTCATTACAAGACTATATATAAAGTAGAGCTTAATAAAGGTACTCTATATGCAATTACAATGTAATTTATAAAGAGGGAATTGTTCTATGCACTAATTGTCTATAATATGAATTACTATAAATCACTGAAAAAGGAATGGTGTATTTAATCTAAGATCTTTCTTGATGTATTATCTCTACTATAATCCACATGAGAATGTAAATGAGAACAGGAACTTTTCCCTGACACATACTAGACACTCAACTGTTGTATTAATGGATAAATAAAATTTCTAGGTGAAAGTCACTGTGCACTTGATATGGTACAGGATACAAAGACAAACAAAGGAGCTTGTAGTTTGCTTAAGATGGCTAGCCATAAATTCACAGAAACCCATTATGAGTTGAGTTTGTGGTTCTAGATAGCATAAGAAGTTATGGTATAAAAAGTGTGTCTGAGTTTCCTACCAGATCAATGGAGCAGGAACCTTTCCTCTTCCCAGCACTGGGTGAGCTTATCTTCCTCCAGCCTCACTACCCCCACACCCCCACCCCCACACCCAACCCCATGCACTCTTTGTTTCAGTAATGGTTCCAGCAGGACTAGATCCTACTAGATCCCATTTGAAAGGGTTAATTGAAATGTACGTAATGAAGGGGATATAGAGACGTGTGCAGAATTATGGGAACCAGCCGGAGATGGCAAGGCACAAGCAACAACAGGAAGCACCACCCCTAGTGGCGAAGGGCGGGCGAGAGGGAAGGTGGCAGGGGTCACCACCACCCCTAGTGGCGAAGGGCGGGCAAGAAGGAAGGCAGGCAGGGAATGCGATGGGAGAGCCAGAGCTTGGCTCAGCCAGAATCCTCATCAACACCCAAGTCCAAGCAGAGCCGTGTGAGTCTAATTCCTTAGGCTACTATCAAGTTCGCAGCTATTAACAAGGATTGTATGCATTTGACCCAGAAGCTTTTTGTGGGTGGGGCTTTTCTTGAGAGTCTATCGGAGGAATTCCATAGTCCAAAAGACTGGCTTTCTGAAGCTGGAATCTGTCACTTTCTGCCTTTGCAAGCAGCACTGTGAAATGAGTGTGAAGTGGCTAAATGTCTTCCTTGACTCCTGGCACTTACCATGCACAGCCTTCACAAGGTACAGAACAGGAGAAAATGGATTATGCCCTCAACAATAAGAGGAGAGTTGTCCGCCTGGTTTTGCAGTGGGCCGCCATGTATGGAGACGTCCTACAAGAGGATGACGTGGCTGTGGCTTTCCTAGAGGTAAGTGGGAGTCATGCCTTCCAAGAGTGTATCTTCGTCTTACAACACAGGGACTTCCCATGGCCCCGCAGCTTCCCTGGTGAGACTGCAATTGCAAATCTAGACTTGTTAACATGTTCATTCATTGGAAAGGTACTATAAGAAAAGTAAAGAAAAGCATCATCCATTATCCTGCCATTCTGATTCAAGAACTGATAGCATTTTAATGTGTTTTCTTTTGGTCTCTTTCTCTTTGTATTTTTTCTGTAGTTGTAATCACATAGTATCCATTATTTTGCAGGCTGCTTTTTCCACTTCATATAAGGATTTTTCTGTGTCAGTACAGTCTTTCTAATAAACCTTCGAGTAGCTGTACCACAGATATACTTATTTGTTCCCATATGGTTGAATATTTACATAATTTCCAGTTTTTACCTTCCTAGAATGGTAATACAGTAAGCATTTTTGTGTAAGTAGGTCTGCCCTTGGTTACATTCCTTAAAGTGGTATTACTAGATCAAATAATAAATATTTTTTAGGCAGAGGACAACAGATAATTCGGCTGACGAACCACTAGGATCATGAGGTAGTTCTGAAGGGCCATGGTTCATTTCATAAACACTGCTTTAAGCTGAACTTCCCTTTTCCTTCCCATGGCTCCAGCCCCACATTGCAGCACTGACCCTGACATTTAACCCTGAATGACTCACTCTGTCCTCCAAAACTTAGATGAGGACCTTACCTCTATGCAGCCAAATGTAATATGGCTTGTACTTCAAACTTTACCAGTCTGTATGTTCAAGAATGCATTATCCAAAAGAAACGTACCCTCTCTTCCTTTTTTAATCATACTGCTTGGCAGGCAGAGAGGTGAGGAAGGGAGGAAAGGTGGACCAGGAGTGTCCCTCCAGACTGTGGGGTGAAGAACTCTGACAATATAAAGGAATAATAGCTTGGGTCATATGCTTCTGACTCATGGACTCTACCTATTAGAAAGGGACCATTTGCAGATGAACCAAAATGGTTTGTAGTTAAGCTCATAGTGCGAACAGCTCTCCTCTCCTGCCGGTGGGCCCTGCTGCAGAAAAGCACACATAGTTGTTGCTGATGCTTGGTGGTCAGGACAGCAGCAAAGAGTCCTGAGCTGGTGGCACAAACTCCGTGTAGCTTCAGTACAGGGCTGGGGACCATGCCTGCATGTTTACCACCAACAATTAACCACAACTTGTGGTAAATATTAAATAAACAACAAATACTAAAATAATATGCAAAATAAATATTAAAATTTCCCTGAAAAAAATATTGAGTTGAAAAAAGTGCTCTTAACACACAGACTATAAAATGACCTGTTCCAAAACATTGTATTACATGCCATTCGTTATAAATGGTATATAAATAATTTATTTTCAATTAAAAAAAATTTTTTTGAATTTTTTATTGTGGTGAAACATCAAATATAAAATCTGTCCTTTTAACCATTCTTAAATGTACAGTTCAGTGTGCATTAATTACATTCACAATGTTATGCACCCCTCACCATGTATTTCTAAAACCTTTCTCATTTGCAATTTTGAATTTAGACATATTGTAATGTTTTTCTTTTTCATCTCTAGTCCCTGAAACCATGGTCTAGAGATGCTAGTGAAGCAGATGATATAGGGACACATCTTTATTGCTCTTTACAGAATTGTGTGTCTTTTGCATTCTTGTTAAAAGTCTGTGACTTTTGCCAATTACAGGAGTTTTATGTGTCTGTATCAGATGATGCCCGGATGATTGCTGCCCTCAAGGAGCAACTGCCGGAGTTGGAGAAGATTGTCAAGCAAATGTAAGGAAGGAAGGGCTTGGCTTTGGGGTGTGCTTTCCTCAAATAAGTGCCTGCTTACAGTCAAAACATCCTCTATAAAGTCCTTTGCTCTCAAAAAAGTGAAAGCTGGCTTTTCAGCAGTAGAAGTGTTCTGATTTGAGTGGACTGAGCCTCTGCATAGGTGATGGTGTGATGGACAGCTGCCAAGAGGAAGTATAGAGAAGCACAGATTGTCCTCTGGGATGTCTAAATCAATAAACTTGGGTCCCTTTGGTTCAAGGCAGTGAATCCAGTAATAAAACGGTCAGTAGCAATTAAAAAAAGTTTGAGGGGAATTACTTATACCAAAAATTCACTTTCTGCTGTCAAAGCTGTTGATAGTGAATATTTGTGTCCTCTCAGTAAAAACTTGAAGGTTTTCATATGCCGTTCTTTGAGCCATTGATTAAATACTGACAAGAATGTATGCTACTAGATAGACTTTGAAAGCTGGAAATCCTGGCTTTTAACATCAGTTCCTCTTGCCTGTGACAGGAGCTGATCTCTTTGCTGTTCCCTCCATACTTTGGTCACTTGGTATTAAAATGAGGAGGTTCATATTGCCTCCTGAAGGGATGCTGTGGTTTCATTTTCTAATGTAAGAGTAAAGTTTACATGCGAATGAAGACATTTAAAATAATAGTACTCACGGTAATAAATAATTTGCTTTCTCTATTTCTTGCAGTTCAGAAGATGCAAAGGCTCCACAAAAGAAAGTAAGTGGCAATGGATTAGGATTCTCTAATTATCTTTGTCCAATGGAATGAAAATTCTCCAGAAGTATTTTTTTGCAAGAATAAAATTGATGTTTTTGCAAATGCAAAACATGTTTTCTTCATTTCTTGATAGCTTCCCAGGTTTGTTTCCTCTGAGTTGCAAATGTGCATTGATCATTCTCCCCTTATGGTAGTTGCTGTTGTTTTTATTTTTACAGCACAAAGTTCTTTTGCAACAGTTCAACACAGGTGATGAGAGAGCACAGAAGCGCCAGGCTATCCGAGGCTCTGATGAAGGTGAGAATTCCCTTCCAACTCATGGTTGTGTGGTTAAAGTCAGCATAACATCTTCCCCCTGGGAATCATCACTGTAGACCCACAGAAGAGCTTTCCTTTGCAGTCCAAATAGTTTGTTTGGAAGTGCCCTTTTGCATTCCAGTTATTTATGCTCTTGACCTCTGTGCCTAGAGCTGAGGAGCTTATCCACATCTCCGTGGCTCTGCCTGTCCCCTGCTACTACCTTTCCTTGAAGGAAAGAAAGGTTATCATAGAAACCAGCTGTCAGGTTTGCCTACCTTGCGGGAGAGGTGGCACGAAGCTGGCTGGCACTCTGCAATGTCTTGCAGGGGTGGAAAGCCAGGGTCACCTGCAAAGCAGGACTTCTGCCTCGGGAGAGTGCTCTGGCCCTCAGCACATCTTCACCAGTGGCCATCAGGGAGGTACAGGTGCTGGCTATTAGTGGTTGGTTGGTTAAGAGTTAGTTCTCCAAGTATCACAACCAACATAAAATGAATGATAAAATTTTCATTTTAAGCCACAAATGAATCTTGTAACTTAGGAGTACCTCTAAACCCAAGAATTATAGTAGCTGGAATTGCTTCCAGGATTTGTGTGTTCAGAGTTAAGTGTGTGGGTGCCATATATGGGTCTGCTGAGCTAAATACCACCCAAGCTATATGACCCAGCACCAAAGTACACAAACCGAGGAACAAGCGAGCAGGAATGCCAGCGTAGTTCCTGGTCCCGGGCGGAAGCACTCCTGTTTGCAGAGGTGTTAATATTGGCTCCCCACCACCACACCAGACAGCAGTAATACAGTAATCAGCCCACAACACAGCACTTCCTGTACTGTGGAAAAGAAAAGCTTGCAGACAAGGGCTGTCCCAGAAAATTGGCCTAAACTTACTTTGTCTTTTTTCCATTACCTGTTTATAGGTTTTTTCAAAAATATCCATTGTTGTTTTTTTAATTGGGGATGTCAGCCCCGTGCGTACCTATCCTTAGACCAGCACTAAAGTGAGGAGTTTTATGAGGGGCACAGACACAGACCGGTGCAAATAAATACAGTAGTGAGAATGGCAAGATGAAGCAAATTTTTGAGGATGTCTAAACATTTTGCATAGTTTATGGTTTTTTTAAGAATTCCCAAAACCAACTTACCATATTGTTCTGCCTTCCCAATAGTTCTGTTTAAAGTCTATTGCATGGACCACACCTACACAACCATTCGGGTGCCAATAGCCGCCTCGGTGAAGGAAGTGATCAACGCAGTTGCCGACAAACTAGGCTCTGGGGAAGGCCTGATCATTGTCAAGATGAGTTCCGGAGGAGGTAACCACCTTAATTAGTACTGTGGGCTTCTACAAAATAGAATATCCCATCCAGAAACCCCACCAGTAGTTAGTATGGCCCTTCCAAGCTGATCTGCAGGGACAAATTGGTGCTTGTGCTCCCACAAATAACAGAAATAACATAGTTATTGGTGACCTGGGTAAGTGTCTAATATGCCCTGTCTTAGGTACCCAGTTTAAAGCAGAAAGAGGTGAAATGATCAATCTGAGGCAGCTAGAACTGAGGGCTCGGTACGGATGTCAGTCTGGAGTTCTTTCCATATAAACCTGAAGCAGAAAAGCTGCAGGCCTTGGAGCTCTGAAAAGCCTGGACCCTTAGAGGGCATCTGGCTTGACAAGCTAAAGGCCATAGGTTTCCACAAGTTAGAAGTCAGAGGTGGTCACAGGCTATTTCTTTTCAACGGGTGCTGTTTTCCTCCTTACCTGGTACAGAGGGCAGGAATCCAGCTCATGGAATGAAACAAGGACTGTTTTACCCCATGGGATCACTTGGTCACTCTGTGCTTTCATGAGGTGTCATTTACTCATTCACCATGTATTTACTGGTCACTGAGTATGACTGTGACAAGAGAGGATGTGTTAGACACAGCCTGTGCCCCCAAGTTACTCCCAGCCTGGTGAGGAAGTAGACAGTAAATAACAATTAACAATAAACAAAAAACAATTAACAATCCATGATAGCAAGAGTTTTGGAATGTGTTGCAGTGAGAGCCTAGAGGAATGGAGCAATACAGTTATATTATCCAGGAATGATTTGATAGCCATTGGGGGATCCGCCAGGATCAGGTGAGCCATTTCTGCCATGTTTATAGGCAAATGGTTTCACTGATGTAGGATTTTAAATACATCTTGGGTTCCTAAGATGTCCCCTTCGATTTCTGCCTGAGTCACAGGATGCAGGATATCTGTCCCTGCTCGTCCTGCTGGCACATTCTTCCCAGAGCAACCCCATGTCCCTTCCTCACTTTCTTCAGGGCTTCACCCACATGTCAGTGTCCCACTGAGAACCCCTCCTTCTTTTCTTTGACTCCCTTTCTAAATTCATAACTTCTCCCGCTTATATATGCTGCTCCCTGCTGTATTTTTTTCTCCTTATCAATGCTCACCCTCTAATCTATTATCTTGTCCACTGTCCACCTCCCTCACTATGATGTAAACTCTTTGGGGACTGGGATTTTTTTTTCTTTCCTTCTCTACTGTATCCTCAATGCCTAGAGCAGTGTCCAGCATGTAAAAAATGCTAAGTAGATATCTATGAACTGAATTAATTTTTTTTAATATAGGAGGCTTAATCTAGGTAATTCAGTTGCTCTCCAAATTAGGGAATAAGTGAAAAATAATAATTAATTTTACATCTAAAGTCATGTGGTATCTCAGAAAACCCCTCAGTTTTCTAAAAGTGATCTTTCCACCTCCGAAGTACTGAACATTTTTACCACATGGAAAAATAACTTGTTATATAAATAGAAAATGTGGTTTTTGTATATAATTCTGGTGGCAGCACAGAACTGGGTGAATTAACACTCAGATATTTCCATTCCTGTTTTGTGGTCATTCCTGATGGCATCCTGCATGTCGTGTGCCTGCGTGAATCCTGTGTCTTTTTTATTCAGTGGGTCCTCTCAGTACTATATTTTATGCAGTCTCTCTGTGTGTTCCAGTAATTCACTGAGCTGGCAATTTGTTGGTGTGATTAGAGAAGTGCAGCAAATCTCAGATGCATTTAATAGGCAATCTCATGCTTTTTATGTTCACAGAAAAGGTGGTGCTCAAACCTAATGATGTTTCAGTATTTACGACGCTCACCATTAATGGACGCCTATTTGCTTGCCCACGAGAGCAGTTCGATTCACTGGTAGGTGTGGATGGCCTCCTCAGAGCAGTATCTGCAATCAGAATAACTTGTCTGGAGCTTAATTTTGCAGTTACGTTGAACCTAGTTGCAAAAAATTTCTGGAATGCTACTTGGCTTTTTCTTTTCCTGTGGTCTATTAGGTGAGCCTCAGGTGTTCATTTGATGTGCTCTGAGCTTTAGATTTTCTTTTGCAGAAATTAGCCAAGTAGCACCACTATCAGGGCATGATTCACCTTTCAGAACTCTTTGTAAATCACCTCCTTGCAATGTTCCCAATTTAAATATTAATATTAAAAATCTGAATACTTAGACCAGAATAGAAATTTTTTTTTAAGACAAGATACTGCAATTTATCATACTCCTTAGGAGATTGTAGAAATGTTTCGGTAGCAAAGCCACTCTCTGGTTTAAGAAAAATGCTGTTCCCTGAAAGCACTCCAGCTTGTGTAGGAAATATCAGAGACCAGCAGTCTTCCCTAAGGCTCCGAGACACTTGTTCCCAACCTCACAGAGTTCTCTGTGGATAAAGGATTAATTGGCCCATGCTAATAATTGAGTAGCCTACTCTTCTATGCAAGGGGAAGGGTTCATTTCTATTTATCGTATAAAAATTAGACACAGACATAAGCAGTTATTAAAGTATCTTTGAAAACCTGTGGGGCCAATTCAGAGGGTAGAGGACTCATTTTTTCCATCTTTGGACACAGAGCTTCTTTAGTAAGAAAAATGCAACTCAAGAGCTGGTGGTAAACCTAGAGTTTACCTACATAGGTGCTGCATGAATGTGTTCAAGTTTAGTCAGTTCAGGCCTCATAAATAAATCAAAATTCTTCTTGAACTTGTTAGAGTTTGTTTTAGTCTCATGGTAGTTCTGATTTTCTGGTTTTGTGTCATTTTGTGCACTCTAGTGCAGTCAAGCAGATTTTTGCACCGTCGCGAATTCATCTGGAGGGGACTTAGTGAAGGTGGTATCAGTGCTCTTAGCCTCATCCATTGCTGCCCATGACACCCTTGCCTCTCCTCAAGTATTACTGCTACAAGAGCTGAGTCTGCTCACAGCCCTTTTCATATATTTTTTAGTCATTTGTATTCATTCTTTTCTAAAAAATCAGTATTTCCCAGCATGGGAGGAATGGGGGGCAGGGGCAGGGGAATGTCATAAATGAGTGGTGCCGCCCTGTCTTGGAAAGAAATGCCATCCAAAGCCAGCTCAGCTGGAGCCCTGCTGAAGGCGTTGCGTGATGTGCTTGCCGCCAGCACTCAGGCCTCTCTCACCGGCTGGCTCACAGCTACAGTGCCGACAACACGGTGTGTCAGCAGATAGTGTGGACTGTCTCCAGCTCTGAGTGGGGCAGATACTGACATTTTAAGCCTCTGTTTATTTGTATGTCAATCTGCAGCCTTACAAATTCTTAGTCCTTGCTACTCTTCCATTTTAAGACCTGAGAAATTGAAAGGAACTCACTTGCAACAAATAGCTGGGCTATGAACCTGTTTCCCATCGTCTACGTGAGTGCTTTGTCATCCACTGGGCTGTGAGTTGTGTCATCTACTGAGGAATGGGCAAACCCTAGCCCTCTCTTAAAATGATAGACACAGAACGCCGTTTCTGGCTTCCTGAAGATTTCTTTAAAGACAGTCCATCTGGGAAGAGTTGGACACAGGAGGATTCTGCAGTACAGAATGTTGGCCAAACCCTTTGATCCATCAGCACATACTTATGAAATATGCTTTGTGCTCGGTGCTGTGCTATCTTCTATGTGAATTACACCAGTGTCTGGGAGCCTCTGTCCTTATGACAATTATGGTCAAGTTAGGGAAATGAGACTGACACGAACAACCCAGAACAGAACAAGTTATAGTGGTAAATTGGTTGTCTGGAATTAGTAGAATGCCAGCGGTTTATCCTCTTTGGTTAAAGGCTTGGATTCTGGAGCTTTACTCTCTTGACATTTTGTTTAAACATGTTAGTATGGAGCAAATTAAAATAAAATCCCATTGTACTGTAATTTGGTTCTACTTTTATCCATTCACTAGCTCCTTAGACATTTATTTAGGGCCTACTATATCATTCCAGGCATTGTAGTGTTTCTGGCTCTGGGATGGTCTTGAAGATAAATCCATCAAGATCCTTGTATCCCAAGTCACTCACAGTATAGTGAGGACACCACGGTGTAATGAGAATCCAGTGGGACAAATGCCATTGAGAGCCAGGCAAGACGGTATGGGAGCACGTGGAAGGAGGGCTGCAGGGGTGGCAGCTTCCTTCAGCCATCTTTTTGTCATTGACAATCAGTACATCTTTTTTATGTCTTTGTTTCCTCATCTGGAAAAAGGGAGGTAACAATGCTGTTCTCCCAATCACAGCCATCTAGGCTTAACAAAGAAGCCCGCTCTCAGGAAGAGATGAGTCTGTGAGAGTTCTGGGCCTCTGTGTAGGCAGTTTTCAGATCTGTCTGCAGCACAGATCCTCCATGAGCTCGGCCATGCCTATTTGTAGGAAATTTCCAGAGAGATATCTGTGACAAAATAGAGGAAGGAGATGCTTCCTATGGGACCCAGGGTCAGCATGTAAATGCCCACTTGAGAAGGAGGAGAACACGTGGCTGCTCAGACTGCCTGCTCAGTGGCTCCTGGAGGAAGGGGTCAGCCTGCATGTGGTCAAAGAGGGGAAGGCTTGGTGGGCCCTGCCCACCCAGCAAAGTAAAGATTCCATAGGGCCTTCTGTTATTCTCTCAGAAGGGATGCAGGAATGACAGATCACATCTGCTATTAAAAGAATTTTGTGTATTTCTTAAAATTGGCATCATCTTAAAATTGGCATCTTCCCTGTCGTTGTTGGTTAATTTCTTCATTGAAAAGCCATAAGGCATCATGAGAAGAGGTGGGAAGTGAGATAGATTAGGAGAGAGCAAATCCGAGGAATGGAGTGACAGGCAGTTCCACAGCAGGAGCTACAAGAGGGAGGGGAGAATGTGGAGAGCCGGTCTGAGCCTGAAAGGGAGTCCTCAGCCCTAGCATTTAAAAGCTTCCCCAACTTTAGGACCTAAGACCCACCCCACCTGAAGCCATTCTCCTTCATTGCTTCCATAAGCTGCTTGCCCATCCGTTTTAGGTTGGTTCCCTAAGCTTCAAAACGTTGAAATAATTGTTACTCTTCCCCTGCCCTCTGTCCCTTGCATAGAGTAAGTCCAAATACAGTGAACAGTACTTAGCTCACACGTCCCAGGGCTATACTGATCTCACTCTCCTGTGCAATTGCGTGGCTGCACCATGTCTAGGGAGGGAGCTGATTTGGAAGATGATAAGAATGGAGGCCTCCTCTGTGCCTGCTATGGTGCTTATATGCTATGCTTAAATTATTCCCATCTAATCTTCATAATGAGCCTGGGTACCAGGTACTATCACACCAACTTTCCAAAGCTAGAAACGGACATTCAAAAGATTAGGGAATCGATCCAAGTCTGTGTAGTTAGAGTGGGGTTTACATTCAGAGTCTGTGGCTCTCTAAGCTGGCATCAACCTGGTCTCTTACTAAACCCCAGCCCCTCACCCAGTACTCAAACACTTGCTAAAGCGGTCCAAGCTGTCCCTTTGGTTCCCCTGAGCTCTCTATTCCTGCCAAGCGGGTCTCATCACAGCTTCCTCACCTCCATGCCTCTCCTGCCATTCTTCAGCCTACAACAAGCTACCCTGGATGCCCAGGGAAAACCTTATTGTTCTAACCCACACAAGGCTGCCTATTTATGTATTAAAGCCCAGCTTCTTTCTCCAAACCTCTTTAGGCCGCACATTTATTCCAAATGTCCACTAACTCTCAAAAAGCCCATTATGTTCTGTCACCTATTTGTCTGTGTATCTGGCAACCAGGTGTGTGTTGATGCTCCTGTCTGCCCTGGTATGGTCACACAGGAACGCCGGCAGCCCACTCTCAATTCATGTGCAGGCAGGGCAGTGCCTGGTGGCTGGGGTCGGCTCCTCTCTCAGACTGTAAACTTGCAGAGACCACCTACATCCTGAATGTATGACTTCTTTAGTGCCCAGAATGCAGTGGGAATTTACAGAATGTAATTGGCTATGGGTGATGATGACAATAATGGAGATGATAGAACTTGTACAATATTAGTACTTCCACCCTAAATAGTGAATATACATATATGGTTAGCATGAAATTATGACAATTCTCTTTCATGTGACTTGTGTAACTTTGTACATATATTATAGATCCATAGGTATTAATGCATATGTTTCCAATGTATGTGGTGTGTCATGCATCTTACTAAGGAAAAGCACTCAAGGTTATTTCTCATAAATAAAAATGAGGTAAGTAAGTTGGGTAGAAAGTTTTGACTAGGGGTCTTTCAGAAAGTAAAAGTGTTTGGTTTTCTGATGCCTAGCCCGAAACACCATAGCACATGAAGACCGTTCCAGCTCAGCACTTCTCAGAGAGCAAAAGGACCAGACGTGGTCTTTGATCTCAGTACACAGAGCCCTCTGTCACCTCGTAACCCCAGGCAATGTGTGGTGAAAGATGGGGGGCCAGCAGCTTTCCCAGCCACCAGCTGCTACAGTAGTCAGTAGCCGAACCCTGTGGCTATCTACCCACTACTGCCATGCCTGTGTGTGCTTTGGAACGGCGTTAGTGGGAAACAGAAGGAAAAGTCTCCGGAACTCCTTGCATCTTTACCAGAGAAAAGAAATCATTTACAGGAATGTGGCAGGCCCAAGCAGAAAAGAAGCCTCCAGGGGTCACTAGTCAGTGAATCTTACTTGCCACGGTCCCCATTTTCAGTCCGTGGAACTGATGGTAGTGACAATGACTTACATAAAGATGGCACTGAAGCGAGTGAGCATTAAGAGCAAACACATCTTTCTATTCTGGGTTAAATAAATGTTTTGGGATATTCCCAAAAGCATTTCCAGATCCTTTCCTCTCAGAAATGCCTTAAAACATTCAGCTCTAAGTACTTGTCTCTTTTGAGATTCTGATGTATTTTTGCACTATTGTTCATAGACTCCCTTGCCAGAACAGGAAGGCCCAACTGTTGGAACAGTGGGAACTTTTGAACTGATGAGCTCCAAAGATTTAGCATACCAGATGACAGTTTATGACTGGGAACTCTTCAACTGTGTGCATGAGGTAAGGTGCTCTTCAGAGAGCATTGGGAGGTGCCATAGCAATTCTGGATGAAGCCTGCTGGCGTTGTTCAATTGCAAACGTTAATGTGTGCTGCAATATAGAAACTACATGATAATTTTTTAAAATATTGAGCTTATTAATAAAGTCACTTATAAAGTGTTTGAGTGTTAAAGGAAAATCTTTATGATTCATAGTAAGCTATGTCTTCCTAAGTATGTTAAGTCAATAGCACCTAGTTTATAGTTACAAAATTAGCAAGCCTCAGTGAACCCCTTCAGACCTGTGGTACAACCTGGCCAGTGATTGTATTCACATTCGCTGACCGATGTCAGTTTGTCTGGACAGAGAAACCTCGCTGGTATTTTGATTTCAACATGAAGAAGTGAAATTGTTTTCCTTTCTTTTCTAGCTGGAGCTAATCTATCACACATTTGGAAGGCATAATTTTAAAAAGACCACAGCAAACTTGGATTTGTTCCTGAGGAGATTTAATGAAATTCAGTTTTGGGTTGTCACTGAGATTTGCCTTTGTTCCCAGCCCAGCAAGCGTGTTCAGCTCTTAAAAAAATTTATTAAGATAGCAGCCCAGTAAGTATCCTTACCTTGGGAGGAGATAAACGTTTGAGAGGCATTTTCATTTTGATCCCTTAGGCTATACCTTAAAAAGAAAAACAAGGTAAAGGATCTCCTTATGCACAAGGACCAACCACAGGGACTTAAGAATAACCAAGCTCCTTCTTGTAAACCATTAATTTCATCTAGCTTTTGTAATATTTGGCATCAATATGCAAATTAACACCTTACAGCATAGATGCTGGAATCAAAATTGTGACCTCTTTTTGCTCTGAAACTACTCAGATTTTGTGCCTCCTCTGCTTCAGAGTCCTTTAGCAAACAAAGTTGTGTTTTAGAAAGTTGTAGAAAGCAAGCTGCAGTCCATGTCCAATGTGACACATTCTCGCCAGTAGAGGGCAGTGGGAACATGCATGTGCACCCGTACACCCAACTCAGCCAGAGTAAAATCGGTAAAATGCATAAAGGCGAGCTAACCTGGAACATAAAAATTATCTCCATAAACATCAGAAAAAGCAAGCATCTCATAGACATTCTATTTAACAGCACTTTATGGGGAACAATTTATTTACTGCAAGGGCCAGTTAGATTTCTCCCTGGCATGAGCTAAATCTTCTCCTGCTATTTAGATATGCCTGACAACCTCCTGTTTACTTCCATGTTTTTGGTATCACCACAATGCTAAAAATAAAATGCTAAATGCGGCCTGTGGCTGGGAGACTTCTTTCCTTTCTAAATGCAGGGTACTCTAGCCCAGGAAGGTGGGGAGCACAGTGACCCCAGCTAGGCAATTTTCTTGAGCCAAGTTGTTTCAATCCCATACAGTCTAATTTCCAGAGCTAAACAAAGAAGTAAATGCTGCTTGACATTCTATACCTACCAGCTTGCCAAATGCTTTAAATTGTTTTGCCGAAAATTTGAGGGTTCAACGGGACATCCAAATCATGTGGTTTAAAAATCTGGTGTCTCTTAATTTGGAAAAGCTGCCTTTTTAAAAAAAGATTTGATAAAATGTTGCTCATTAATTTCTTCTGGTTCACAGTGTAGCCAACTTTCCGTAGGAGTTTGAACAGCCTTGTTACAAGATGCCTTCACGTATTTGGAAAGAGATGATTATGGAAACTATGACATATGTGCTTTCCTGCCTTAAGGAGTACATTCTCCCTTCACCTTAGGCTGGCAGTGCCAAGGGCGACAAGGAAAGGGGCAATCTGCACAAGATTATGGGGGATCAGAAGACCGTTTGGGATTTAATCCTGCTATTTTATTGCATCAACGTAGGAGAGCCTTTCAAACACTCGGGAATTATTTTGAGGGTTTTTGCCTTATCTCTCATCCTGTGATTATGGGAATGAGTAGGTGGGTTAGGCCTTCAGCACAAACTGGTTTATATTATTTAATCATTATTAAGCTGTACTGGCCTATAGTGGAGCTAGATACATAGCCCAGCCAGAGAAGATTGTAGACTTTCAAACCAAGATGTCCAAGAATGAGATCTAAACCCACTGGCGATAGCATGTTTGCCTGAGATCTTTAGGGAACTTCAGCACAGTCTATTTTAGGTCTTTGACCTGCCCAGAACTTTGTGAAATTGGGGGTCCAGGTATTATCATCCCCTCTTACAGGTGAGCAGACTGAGGTGTGAAGAAATTTCATGACTGACCTAGGGTGATAGAGGTCGTTATTAAGAGTGACCAGAAAGGAGGGCCTGCAATCCTGCATGAGCTGTCAAGATCATGCAGATAGGACAGAGGCAAACGTGTGTGCATGATCCTACTTTGCCTTCAGCGCCTGATCTGAGAGCCGCCACCGCAGCACAGCAAAGGCCTCGCTTGCTTCCTCACCAGAGGGCGAGACACACCATAGCTTCTCTGAAATCTGTTCTCCCATTTCTACATGGACCATTTAAGAATCATTCATTGTTACCTCTGCAAAGAGAACATGGGCAGCAGATGCAACAATTTAATTAGCTTTTTGCAAAAATGTTAATCCAAACAGAATTTAATTATGATGTAGTCAATTTAGATAGCCAGATTGATTTGGGTGAAGGATTTACGCTTGTTGCAAAATGAATTCTTTCCCTTTTCAAGGAGTCAGACTGAAGAAATGGGGGATTCCTTTTTTTTTTTTTCAAGTTAAACCAAGTACCTGGGCTAAATATTGCCATTCTAATAAGAATCTTTTATCTTGTTACACAATATTCTTATTCCCAAATATATATTCATGAAAGGTAATAGTGGCATAAGTACAAATTCAAAATGATCAGCTTCATCCACATTAGTAAAACAGAAAAAACAAGGTTATTTTCAGTCAATATTTTCAGTTATTTCTCAGCTCTATAGGGATCATGACTTGCAAATTGATATTTTCAACAGATTAGAAGCATGTGCGTGGCAGTGGAAGCCACAGTGGCTGCAGCAGTATGATTTCCTAAGTTCCCTCCCAAGCTGCCACAGGAGGTGCCCTGCTCAGGCTAAAAGTCTAGGAGTCTTCAAGGGCATTTTGCTCTCTTCCTAGCCCATGAGATATTTCCCTCTGGGTCCAACAAGGCTTTTAGCAATGGATGGAATTGTAATAACAATCCCTAAGATAGGTGTCCACATTCCTTCTCAAAACCTGAACCTAGATGGCCAAAACTAACCCCTTTCTAAAAGCACAGTGAGAAATCAAAGAGCAGAACACGGTCACCCAAGTGGAACTTACAGTGCATTAAATCTATCAGTGCCTGTTCTCATAAAGGAGTCCTGACGAATATTAATGACTACCAAAAAATAGAACTCTATTTTTTTTATCTCACTCAGAAGTGACATTTTACTCAAACACGCACCTCTTATGTTTCAGCTGTAAGGAGTATAAAAATCTGAATTCCTTTTTTGCCATCGTCATGGGACTAAGTAATGTTGCTGTGAGCCGCTTGGCACTCACGTGGGAGGTAAGCTTCAGCTGAGATCCAGCTGTGACTTTGCCTTAAGAATAAAAACACAAGCTCACTAGTCACTTTTTTAATAGAAATATCACTCACACTCATATAACAATGGAAAAGGTAGGACACTTTGAGGGAGGTGACCTGTCTTTTTTTTCCAGTTGCCTCAGTGTGAATTTGAAAAGGTATTCTCCTTTTGTGGATGGGGGAATGAGGGGAGTCCCAGTTTCTCTGTCTATACAATGCAAATAATAGTAAGTCTTGTTCCTAGGTATAAAATGAATCAACAGCATTGCACGGATGACTTCAAAGACTTCACTCATAGATTTCTATTGTTCTCTGGAATGTCTGCTTATTGCTTTTGCAGTAAGCCTTATCTATAATTAAGAAAGAACATAAGATCCATTTTCATCCAAGTAGTCATTTTGCTTCAGGGAGAATTAGCCAGAAGACCAACTGTTTGGCCCAGCTGAGTACTAAGTATCTCTTGGCTGCCTGGCAGACCTCTCTGTATGGAGGAACAACAGTTGGCTAGTATTCAGTTTGGGACAAAATATATGCAAGTGTGCTGTGAATTTATGTAGCAAATATGATTAGTGGTTTGTTGATAGTTGGCTATTTGTGCTAGGGAACATCTTCACATTCCATTAGCAAAATACTCAAAATGTGCCTGACCCCTTAAATGTGGTATTATAGTCAAAGAAATACTAGTCCCTAATAAAACATAGACACAGAAATAGTCTGTTACTAAAAATAAAAAAGTATGTGTGAGTGGGACACAAAAGAGGTCAAGGAGTAGATGACAGAGACTTAGTTTGCAAGATGCCTTAAAAAGGCACCAAAAGCAGCTGTTTGCATCTCTGAATGTTTTCCTTAAAACATTTCCTTCCCCACTTCCCTCTTGAAACTGTTTTATTACCCAGTCCCTCCTAAATGTTTTATTGTTTATAGGACAGGTCTTCACAAGTTCTGTCTTGGGTTTCTCTTAAAATTCCAGGAGATGCACATGCGGCAGCTCATCCCCTGAATATAGGAGTGAGGGAATTGGTGAGGCCTGCATGCCACCAGCTGTGTCATCTTCCAGCTAGTAAAGGGTGGAGCTGGTGCTGCCAACACACCTCAGCCACGAACGATGCCATAGTACCGGCCCCCCTGTCTTGTAGCCCTGGGCTCTTGGAGTCTCTGGGGACTTACGGTTCCCTTTCAGATAGTCTGTTTTCCCCAACCTGTTTCCAGATTCTAACCCCCCATTACCTTGGAGTCCAAATGACTTGATTGGCAAAATCAGAGAAGGTATAATGGCTCACAGAGGTCTGGGAAGGCCAGTTGTAGGGACCACATAGCAGCCAGACATTAAGGCCGCAGCACGGTCCCCTTTCCTGGTCTACAGCGAAAAAGAGGACTGCTTGGTGGGGGACGCATCAGCAGAGGGAGAGAGTTCATTGGCCAGTGCTTCAGCTTCATGAGGGCTAGAGAAGTACTTCAGTCTGGGAGCTTCCAGTCTCACCCTTGCATGTTGCTGAAAAGAGAAGATTGACCTTTCATCATTTATAAGCCCTTACTTTTTAAGTTGAAATGTAATTCTATCATTCTGTAGGAAGAGCTTTCATTCATAAGCATCTTCACTTTTGGTTTATCCACCTGTACTTGCTGAGAACCTCCCCAGGGCTTCCCATACCTGCCCAGGGAGGAGCGCGAGGGCTGCGTGAGCGGAGTGGGAAACAGTGTCTGCACTGGGGACTGTAGGACAGTGGGAGGCTGCGGGTGGCCTGAACAAACAGCAAAGTCAAACTGCACGGCAAAAGGAATGGTTCAAGACAGAGGGGAAAGGCCAGTCTGAGATGGAGCAAATGGGAGTGAAAACCTGGGGCAGAGTGTCTCAGCTCCCGTAGCATCGGCATCTGGGGCAGGACACTCCTTGTTGTGCTGTGGGGTGCCTGCAGCCTCCCTGGCCTCAACCTGCTCTGTAACACCTCTCACTCCAGCCCACCCCAGCTGCGACAAGAGGAAGTGTCTGCAGATACTACCAAATATCCCCTTGGGGGAGAGGGGGAGGGGGCTGTGAAATTGCCCCGACTGAAGTCACTGCTCCGAGCCATAGGGTGTAGGTAGATAATAATATGAAGTCCCACAAGATATTTTATTACCATATGCCTTCCTGCCTTTGACCCAAAGCCAGCTAAGTCAAGAAAGAGAACCAGATCTAATGAAAAAGTGAGACAGATCTCACTCCTGATTTTTAAAATGGTCTGTGTTCATGGCAAGCCAACACCTGATGGTGACTTGGGCACTCCATGTGGGAGGAAATCCCGGCCTCCCTTGATGCCCAGCCCAGCTTTCATCCCTTTGGACATTCCCTCCGAGCAAGGTTATCAGGTTTCCCTGAAACCTAACTGGAAAAGAGGTAGTAGGAAAATGAATTTGAAGGCTCTGCAGGAGACTGGTTCCTAGAAACAAAGTAAGACTTTTGTAAATGTTTCAATGAGAATATGACAAACTGATTCAGATAAGAGAAAGAAGAGAGGACTGTTTCTGTGATTACAGAGGCCTGATAGGTGCATCAGTCGTTGACAGTAGACTTCACTGCGCAGAGCAGACGGGGAGTCTGTGAGGCTCAGGACCTCATCAGTGCTAATGGGCTTGAGAGAAAAGTTCCGTTTTACTAAAAGCTCAGTACCTAAGCAAAATGAGATTGAAAGATGATTCAGTATTGATCTACTTGTGCAGATATATGGGGAATAGTCAGTAGTGTTGAATCATGTGCCAAAACAGAAATAGGAACTATCAATTTTTGTATTACGGCAAGGCAGAGGAATTACGCGAGAGACATGCTTGTGTAGAAAAACACAGCATTTAAGAGGCAGTAGAAGAGAAGGCAGGTGGTGTGAATTACAGAGGCTCTAAATGTCATCAGCTGTGTGACTTTGTGCATGTCATTTAAGCTGTGAGACTTATCTTCTTCCATCTATAAAATATCGGTTTGATCTATTCAAGCAAGTGTTTATTGAACACTGCTTAGGTACATGACACCCTTTTGTGTGCTGAGGATATAGCAATAAATGAAAATGATAATAAAAAAATCCCTGTTCTCATATAGCCTTACATTGTAAGGGAGGAGGAGGGTTGAAAAAATAATAACAAATAGTTTCTCAAACTTCTAATCCTAATATTTTCTGGCTTAAATTCCTAATTGTGGGAATCAGAGAGTTTAAAGGTGTTGGGATGGATAATTCCAAACCACTTGTAGGCTGAGAATGCAGCCCTTTTTATGAATAATCCATCTCAGAAAACCTTATGAAAGCGTGAAGACCAAAGCATCTGTGCTTACATTTGGTTCAACGATGTGAAGACTTAAACGCAAGTTCTCTGTATTCCAGATTATCGTCAAATGGCAAGCCAAATTAGTATGGTCTATTTTAGAGATGTTTGATTAAGAGCCAAAAGAAATACATTTCCCCTAGAAATGGTAACACGTGATACATATCTAGATACTGCATCTGACATTTGAGTGTGGCATTTTCATTTCATTAACAGAAACTGCCAAGCAAGTTCAAGAAGTTCTATGCAGAGTTTGAAAGTTTAATGGTAAGTGACAGGGGTTTCTTTATTCTGTTCTCCGTCTGCATTAATCCAATTTCTGATTAGCTGAATTGAAGTTCTCATTTCAGAAATTTTATCTGTCCTTGTATGACTTTAAGAAGTTTATGATCCCGTTTTAGTGCTGCTAAAACAAGCATGTCTGACTAATGAATGGCACCCTCAGGAAATAACTTAAAGAGGACTTATGTCCCACATAAGGTCAATTTGTGTAACTTAGAAAAGCAGTGTAATAGGATCCTCTCCATCTAGCACAGGTTGGCTATGGGTTGGAAGCTGCATTTACCTTGACTTGCCAAAATTATTTTTCCCCATTGGCTGGGAGGTGTTCCTGGATGGAAAAGGAGTGAGTGGGGCTTGACAGGAGGGATGGGGTGGTTTCAGAGAGGGCAAGTCCGGACTGGCTGTGCACAGCCACGGGAGGGTGGATGGACTGCCCGGAAGGAGGCCTTGCCTCCGGAGAAGGGCAATCTTGTGGGTGGGGTTCACCTTATATGTTTCATGTGTGCCCTCAGAGGGACTCACTCCCCTTTGACCCCTGTAAGCAAATCCTAAGGAACACTTCTAAAAAAGAAAGTAAACAAAAATAAATTATTTTCACGTCAAATGGGAAGTTGTTTTAAAACACAAAGTGCTTTGTTTAAGTCTACTTTTGTTTTGTAGCTATACTTGATTCAAAACTACTTTGTGGACACGGGGGCTGGGTGTCAGGGAGAGGGCGGGGGCCAGTGTGTGTCACCAGTTTTTAACCAGGAACTCTTTGTTTCTCTAAAGGATCCTTCGAGAAACCACAGGGCCTACAGGCTGACAGTAGCTAAGCTGGATCCTCCTCTCATCCCCTTCATGCCTTTGCTCATTAAAGGTATCTTTCTAAAGAAATGACAGGCCAGGCCAGGCCAGTGGTGAGTATGTGGGGCAGAAAATGAATGAGAGACTAACCAGATGATCTCCCTGGAAGAGTGATCCCATCCTTACATCTTCTTTATCATCTTCTCTCAGTCCTGACTTTTCTGGAAGAGTTGGGAAGATTATTGGAGGAGTAAGGATCCATGATTTGGAAGCGTTGATAGTGAAACAGAGGGTTAGCTTGGCAGTTTTACTAATCTCAGGTAAAGTGCTTTAGAAAGTTAAACACCTGACATAAAAGGAACTGTTATCAGCTTTTTTCAACTGCAGTGTTATGCAAATCCTCCAGCATTATCTAATGGTGCTATTGTGGTTTCTTTGTATGACATATTTCTGTTAATGATTAGAATGTAACTTTTATTTCTTTGCAGATATGACATTTACTCATGAGGGGAACAAGACGTTCACTGACAATCTAGTAAACTTTGAAAAAATGGTACGTATAGTATTATAACCTTAAACGCAATGTTTTTTAAAAACGAAATTTGCATTTGCATTTGCACTAATAAAGGAAATAATTTTCATGTACACTGTGGTGTTAAAAAAGGTAGTTACACATAAAGGAGTTTTGAAATATTTGGTTCAAATTGGCTACCTATTTTAGTCTGCCAGTTCTCTTTTGTGGAATGAGTAGTAGTTGTGCAGTGGCTCACAGCAGCAGCCAGCTTTCATGCTGTGTGCTTCTTCCTTGGCTGCCTGTTGCTAAAATGTGCAAATGTTCCAGAGTGACTTCCATGTTGTTGTTTTGTTGTAAGGTTTTTGGAGCTAGACTTCCCCAGGATGCCTTTGAAATATTTATCTGCTGGGCCTATGACTTCAGGGCATGGAGGTAAAAGGTTAACTCTACAGCAGATCTTTATTATGGAGTATGAATCTAAATATGTAAATAAATGAAGTTCACCCAAGTTCAGAGAGAGACCGTGAAAATCTTTATAACCAAAATCAAAATCTTTTTTCAATAACAGATATGGAACTGGCACATATTCAGTATTTCTAAACTGCTGCTCCTCCCCCACCCCCCAAAAAAGTTGTGTTATCTGGTACTAGTTACTTTGCAGTTTATTTTCTTATCTTCTATGAAGCAATAAAGCAGATCATGCCAAAACCTATCTTTAGCTGCATAGTGCATGTTAATGGAATTCTCCATTGTCTCCTAACTTCTCTGGCTACAGCCTGGATAGGTGGGCTGTCACAGTGTTATCTCTGTGGGCAAGCATCTGCCCGGGATTTGGTGTGCGGTGGTGAATGTGGTCCTGCAGGAAAAGCTCAGGACTTGGAGTTCAGCAGACTGGTTCGGTGCTCAGCTTTATCACTGTGTAGCTGTCCCTTAACTTCTCTGTGGGTCAGTTTCTCCAACTGAAAATGGTGATCATGCCTGCAGCATCTGTCTCAGGAAGTTGCTGGTGCGTCCAGAGTACATGAGTATTCTTGAAAGCCATACAGTACTATGGAATTCTTATCAGAAAACTGTTCTTCTAGTTGTTTCTTGATATCCAGCTAGTGGGTATGACGACAGGAGAATTTGAAACATCTCGCAGTAATCCTGTAAGGGTCACACCATTCGTTTTGGGAATGCAACCAGCCTGGTAAAGAAGTATAGCAACTGCTGGGCAATAGGTTCCCAGGTCTTAAGCTTGTTAGGAAATAGCACATGAGTCCACACTCTTCAAAGACATTCTCTATTAGAGGGTAAAATATTTTCTCAGAAATCTTCCCCTCTTCCCCTGACCCCACACCAAAGGCAGGGTAAGAACATCTCTATTGCTGTGCCAATTTAATAATTCTTTGATCAAAGTGAAAAACATTCTTTGCTCACTTATTAGTATGGAGAATTAAACATATTTCTCTGATTTCTCAAAAGAAAACCTGTTTTCCAGAAATGAGAGAGCGGGCAAATCAAATAGGCAAAGAACCTTCCAGTTCACTTACGCAGAAGTGCAGACTGAGGGGTAGCTAAGCCAACTATTTGACTATTAAAATGTCAGGGTTTCGTAAGAAGCTGACTGGGCTTTAGAACTTTTGATCATTAAACATAACTAAACAGAACAAATAAGAAAACAGCAAAAATATCTGTCAAAGAGGATGCAAGTTGTTTCTTCTGGATTTCTAGATGCTGGTGTTACATCCATAACCTACAAAGGAAGAGTGAAGATCATATTCAGTGGCTATTAAGAGAGTCCCCTTTCCTATTTGCCCACAGCTAGGATTCTTGTGTACCTAGCAGTGAGGAAAGAGGTCTTTTACTCCTTGCTCTCAGGGGGCCTGTCCAGTTACCCTTACAAGCAACTGAGTAGCTGGGATAGCAGTTCAGCTTCAGTTACAGAAACTTAAACTAATGATGGCTTAAGCAAGATAAGTTTCTTTCTCACTTGAGGGTCCAAGTGAATATGGTAGCTCTGCTCCAAGGAGTGGTCAAGGTTCCAGGCTCCTCTCTTGCCATTCCACCGTCCACACGGTCCATGTTGGTGGGCCCATGACCTCATTCTAGCTGGAGAGAAGGGGAAGGGAAGTGGGGAAGGCGAGCTTCTCCCCTGAAAGCATATGACCTGAAGTTGCACACACCTCTTGGCTCATATTTTATTGGCCAGAAACTTCATCACATGAAAGGAAAGTTAGAATATATAGCCTTTATTTTGGTATCCATGTGCCCCACTAAAAATTAGGGATTCTATAACTCTGATGGAGAAGGGGAGAAAGGATGTGAAAGAGGAAGGAGTATTGTTAGTTCTCTGCTCCAGCAACTATAAATTTGATTTAATTTGATAAATCATACCATAAGAAAGTTTAATTTTACAATTGTCCTTCCATGAGTTAGGTGTTACTGGGAATTCAGAGAGATTTTATTACGTTTTTTAGACCTGACCAACTTGGCACTTGCTGCCATCTTCCAACCTTTTCTCCCCCTGCCAGTGCCTCTTACAACCCCCACTGGCGGCCGCCTTCACTACTCTGCATTTTGGGGAAGGACACAGCTCCCTCTTTAACATGACATCCCTGCTGTTTCCAGTCATTCGTCAGCAAGGCCAAGGTGGTGAGCAGAGCTGGCAGCCTTTGTGGGGCTGGTAGGCTGTGGCTCCAGAGGGAGCCTGGCAGGGCCGAGTCACCAGAGTAGCCAGGGACACGGGTACATTTTCTTGGTGGCAGCATTGCACAGTCCCAGCAAACTGCTGTGCCAACCCTAAGTATTTTTTCCTTTGAACCCCTTTACCCTTGAGGTATGAAATGGGGATTAGAGAATTCGTTGCATATTGGTTTTCAGGATTTATGAGTATGAACAAAAGAGAATTCACACTCTGATCCTTACGCAAAAAAAGGGCAGATGCTCTTGCATTTGGGGGGAACATAAAGGAGTATTCAAAAAACTGCTTGAATGAAGCCCTTTGTAGCTTTCTATGGTGTACATGAATATTTATAACATTTAGGAGGTGGAGTGGCAATGGATTAGAGGATGATATGCTGGCTGGCTGCCACTACCCCAGGCTGCACAAAGCATGCTGATAGCCACTGTTGCTACTGTATTAGGAGGTTGGTTCTATTTCAGACATACCCATATTTAGGTATATTTGTTTATGAATATTATTTTAAGATAGTCATTTTATTTGTACTGAAAAGCATGGGGAAAGCTTCTACATTTCTTTACGAAAGCATTATCAGAACTAATTCATTAAAGAAGAAAAATGTTTGAATCCTTTTATTTTTGTATCACTAATCATACCATTACACACTTAGCCAAAGTATGTTTTCTATCACCAATAATATTAATACAAGATTCTTACAGAGAGAGCACTGGACTTGTACTAAGCTTTGGAAAAAAGAATGTCCAAGCAAAAATCTAAATGTTTAAATTCATCCAATTCCAATACCTGTACAACACAATGGAAATCTATAAGAGAACTTTGAAAGTTTACTTCTTTATATAGAATTCACAAACTGAGCTAAATGCAGATTTTACAAAGCAGTATGATATATACAGAGTGTCCAGGCAAAGAATTTTCCTGGGAAATAAAAAGAAATCCAAAAAGTACTCCTTGGCCTTTAGGAGATTTTATGCAGTTGAGAAGATAAAATATGAACACATGAAATATTACAAATCAACAAAAGATATAAAAATGAGTTTATAATAATAATAAAAGATGTCAAAAAGCAAACTGCACAGGGAGGTAACTTCATGCAGCTGTATCAGAGGAAAACAAAGCCATATTAAATACAAAAGCATAATGTAAGCAAATCCAGACTTGTTACCCTGAGCATATCCAGCCTCCTCTCAGACTTAGCTTCTCTGCACTCTGTCCAAGTTGGCATGACTAACATTTCTTTTCCTGCCTGCCTCAGGACCTTTGCACTAGCTGTTACCTTAGCCTAAAATTGTCTTCCCCATAGTCTTTACCTGTTTGGCTTCTTCTTATCATTCAGGTCTCCATTCATGTGTCCCCACTCCAGGTGGTCTTCTGTGACCACCTTTGAAACATTCTAATACCCTGCATACCCAGTCCTCTCAGGTGGATAACCTTGCCTTGATAACTGGTTTCACAATCTGAGATGATCTTTACTTGCCTCTTCATTGTCTGTCTTCCCCACTAAACTGGGTAGCTTATCTGTTTGGTTCACTGATACCTCTCCAGCACCCAGAAAGGTTTCTGGCACATCATAAGTATGCAAGAAGTATTTGTAGAATAAAAGAATAACCTAATCATATTCCAATGTTGGACTTGGTGAGATAGGACAGTATATGAAAGCATTTTTAAAGGATTTTATGTAACAACTTAATCCATAAGTATTTCCTATTTTATTAGAAAATTTGATTATACAGAATGTACCAAGCATTTTGCATTCCTGATACTTTCTGCAAAATGACTCCCTTAGCTTTCTGTTCCCAGCCGGACATTATTCTATCTCCCCTCCTCCCTGTGGTGCTAACTATGTCTGTCCTTCAGTGTTTTTCCCTGAGTGCAGAGATGCATAATACCATGCATGTTCCTGGACAGGCACCTGAATTGCCATGTCCCGTAGCCCTAACACATACAGTATACCCTGAGCATCAGGTGTGCGTGTCACACACCTCCTGGATATCACAGACCGAGAGTCAGGGGACAACGCTCAGGGTTCTCCCTCAGTGATGCATATAGCAAAGGCTGGATCAGCTCCTGGGCCTTTTTCTCTTTTCTCTCTTGTCCCTTGGTTGCTGTCATGGGCACAATCTTCGTAGGTGAGAGACTATATAATTTCTATATCTTGTTGTGGAAAAAAATCCTGTCCCAAATATGTGAGGGTTTGAGTGAAATAATCCAGTGGTGTAAATGTGGTTTACACATGCTAAAAGATGAATAATTCAGATCCTGTATGTGATAGGCATACACACAGGCAGAGTCAAATTGACAGGGGCAGAAATAAGAAAGGAAAAAGCCATCAGGCAAAGCAAGGCTGGCAAAGATCTCAAGAGGCCGCAGAAGGAAACAGAAGCATTCAGGGCAGGCACTGAGGCAGGCCCGAAGCCCAAGAGCTGCTCCGCAGGGGTCCTGGCGCAAAGTGGCAGTGCAGCAATGCTGAGGAGGCTCTCTGGCAGTTGTCTGTGGGTGGGAGGCCAAGGTGACAGTGCAAGGTGGCACTGCCGGGATGGCCTGCAGGTCTGAACTTGAAAGACATAAAAGTTCATTTTTCTTCAACCAACCATGGAAGAGCTGCGGAGAGCTTGGACAGGGGGACGAGAGTCAGTTCAGTTCTGGCTAGAAAAGCTGCAGACAGTTGCAGAGTCCTGGTGAGTTGCTGACTGCCTGGGTAGGAGTAAAGGTGTAAGTTCCCAGCCCGCTCCTGAGGGGAAGGCGCCACCGGAAGGCAAACAGCATGCCCATCCGCCAAGGGCCCCATTTGAGAAGAAGCCCCTCTGATGCCTCAGTGGATTCAAGGGCAAGTGCTTGCATCAGAGCTTGAGGGAATTTGTGTTTGGGACTGTAGCCTTGGGGCCTCTTTCCTGTGCCGGGCTGGAGGGCAGATGGCTGGCTGCCCTTCCCCTGGACGGCACCTTCGCACTGGTCACTGTACATACAGCTCCGGCCCCGGGAAGGCCATCTATCTGCTTCTGAGGTGCTCTGTTTTCAGCTAGATAAAGAAGGACGTCCACAAAGGTAGTCATAGAGTCCTTTGCTTGCTACCTCATGTTTTCTTTCTGAGCTTCCAAAGTTATGTCTAAAGGGAAATTCATCAGCTTTTGGTTGGCCCCATTCTTAGCCCTGTAGGTGAGAAACTGTTTGAACATAGTAAATTTTGCAAATAAGCTCTGAAGACCTACATTTAGATTTTGTCTCAAAAAAAATGGTGGCTGTGTAAAATTTGAAATGTGGAATCCCAAGGGGAATCCCTGCATTCTAACTGTAGATTGTTCTTTTGGTCAGAAGTCAAAGGCACATTTACAGAGAAGGAAGTTGCATCCACACGGCAGCCAGCTCAGTGAAATAGGATTATTGGCTTAATTCACTCTTAGGTTGAATGCCAGTCTGATGAGCAGACTCTAAGGTGGTGATTCTCAACAGGGGCTGGTTGCTCATCTGGATCAGTTCAGGTGGACTCACAGCACTGATTCAGAGCACCTCATAAAGGATCATTTCTCCTCACTTTGCTCCTAAATTACAACTCACTCTTTTAATAAGCCGGTTGCTGAGGGGAGTGTTTCATAAACCTCAGGTTTGCTGGGATGGAACAAAAACGAGAAGCTTTGCTTTAGAGTAATCAGGTATTTTCCCACTGGCCTGGCATTACAAGGAAGTGGCCTGGCTGCTCCAGGCAGGCCGACTTGCTCTGGCAGGACTGTGAAGCCTAGGGTATAATTTTTGGCTCCATCTCTGCTGTGGCAGTTGAATAATAAAGCCTATGTCTCTTTAACCTTAGTTTCTGCCAACCTTAGCTGAGAACACCAATGAATAAATGGCTCTGTACCATCAAGATTACCATGTCAGGCTTAAGCCTGTGGAAGGATAGAAAGACTCTAACTAGGTGACTTTTTGTGGAGGTAAAGGCAAAATCCTCCAGTTTGGTCCAAGAAATCAAGTTCACTTCTAAACAGTGGGAAGCCAATGCTTAAAGGCAGACTGGGAAGCCAGTGGGCACCTTGGAGACAGCTGAAGGAGGGGACATCTGAAGTCTCTTTTGACAAGCCAGGAAAGGGCCTTGTCATTGGGTGTAGTTGTTAGGAGGTTTAAATATGGCCTGTATCAGTGGGTTCAGCAGAGGGCGTAGTCAAAATATCAAGTTGACCCTCCCTTGGCCTAGCGACAGTGTTCTCTGCGCTGCACTAGTGGGGTTCCCACGCGACTCACAGGGGTCCATAGCACGGCATGCTTATGAGGACCTCACACAGGAAAAGAACAGATCTCATTGCAAAGCCAGATTTGGACTTCAAAGTTAAACTGAAGTTATCTTTGAGTACAATTAAAAAGGATATGTCAAAATTAAAACCATTGTTAAAATTAATCAAAGATTTAGAAAGGTAGAATGAACTCCAGAGCTGGAAATTACTGATTTAAACAATTGTTCTCACATTTTAAACTACATAATGAGCTAAAAATTATGAAGCCTAAGAGTATAGCTGTAAAGAGTAGTCTACAACCAAAGTCAGAGTGAAATGTTTTAGCTTTCAAAACTAAAAAGCAGAACAATTACTCCCTACAAAATGGTATAGGAAGAGGTTTCTGACCCCTGCTAATTGTTTTATTATTCTTCAGAGGGGCAAACTGGCAGCATTTCCCAGGGTTTTCAGTAATTACACTCCATTCAATATCTGAAGAATTACAATAATTCTACATGGAATATACTTGTGCCCTTCAGATGCAAAGCCTTTAGAGAAGTGAAAAAACAACTTAAAGTAAATTAGCAGGAAAATTATCATAGTTACTGTTTATTTCAGGGCTCCATACATCAGAGGCTAATTATACATTGTATGTTACATTTTCTTGGAGGTATTTGTAATATATTTCTCATGCTGATCAACAGACGTGCTGGTTTTTAGGATCCTTTATGAAAGTAAAGTTCAAACTTTTCCGATTATCTCTTTGTATTTGAGAAGTTATCTGGTACGGACACATGTCACTTAATGCTTACTAGAATCCTTCAAAGCAGTAGTATTCAGGGAAGTATTATGAATGTTCACATGTATATACTTATGAAGCTTTGACTCATCTAAGTTTTTTCCTGCCAAATAAGTTGATTCTTTTTTAACAGTATACTAGCTTTCTCAAAGTCATTTTCTATACTTTGGCAAGCCAAGGGTCCCTGAAAGGCACGGCAAGGGCTGGAGTTACATGGTCACTGCAAGATTCAGAAAGGCTCACTTCCCAGCTAGAGCCTTACAGGTTTCCTGCTCCTGTGAGGATTGACCCGCCATCTCCACAAGACCCCCTTCAGAGACTGAGCAGCAAAGGTGGCCTGGAACAGCACACAGGGGCTCGAGGGCCTGCCTGCTGCTGAAAGTACTGTGAGCAAGAAATGTACATCCCGGCTAAGAAATGGTGCTTGGGTCTCACTGATGTTTTTCCTCATGTTCTCTGTCTTTTTTTTTCCTTTTCTTTTCTTCTTTTGTTTTTAATTGAGTGCAATGGAAAAGAGGCCCTTAAAATTCTTTATGGCAATCAAAACCTCACAAAGAAATTAAGATCACTTAATAACACAATGAACAAATGTTCAATAAATTATAGTCCATCCATGTGATTGGATACTGACACGGTTTTAAATGTTTTAGAATGTAAATGGCATGGAAAATAGTCACAATGCATGTGAAAATCTTAAAACAAAAATGTGTATGTTAAGTATGACTTCAGTTTTTTGAAAAATATGCTTTTATGTATTTATCTTTAAAGCATTAGAAAGAAATGTACCAAAATATTAATGAAGTTACTCTGCAAAGTGATATTCTAAGTGATTTTTACTTGACTCTTAACATTTTCAGTATTTTCTGATTTTCTAAATTGTGTGTGTTAGGGTAATAATCAGAAAGGAAGAAAAGGGAAGGGATAGGAAGGAGAGAAGAAATCACATCATTAAAATGAACATTAAAACACTTTTGCTGGAAGACTAGAAAGGTCAGGAACGATAGAGAAAAGTGTGTAGGAGAATATTTTGGCTGTGACTGTTAAGTCAATATAAGCGAATGCCCCATTACTGAGCCATGTTTACTGCTGGGAACTTGACAAGCTAACTAATGCTTCTCCAAACATAAAATAGTTACAAAATCTCACAAATTCCCAGTGACCTCAAGAATGGATAGTGAAAACTAGTTCTGAGGAGTAAAGTACAGCTTCAAGAACAACAGACTGCTTTTTATGTCCTGAAGATCAAGCAAACAATTAGACTGGAGTAGGCCATTAGCATTCCTCCCTGAAAAATGCCTTGTATGTGTGAGGGTGTGTGCCTCTTTCAAGCAATTAAGCCAGTTATACATCAGTCAGTGCCTCCAGATAGTCAGCCTTTCAGAATGGGCTGTTTTTCGTGGTCCCGGGTGTTGCTGAAATAGGTAATGGTTTGTTTTCCTTTTTGGATTATATACTAAGCTTTCTTGCATTTCAACCTTTTCTTTTTTATTTATTCTCTTTAGCGCATGATTGCAAATACTGCCAGAACAGTGAGATACTGCAGGAGCCAGCCCTTCAGTAAGTAAAATGCCGCTGTACACTGCAATATGGATCTTGGTGATTAAGGTCTTTTTAATGAGGCTACTGAGACATTCTAGAAGTCTGGAAAATATTTGATTGCGTTAGAGACACTTTGGACCATGGATTCCATGGGACAGGAGCCTTGAGTTTTAGGACTCTCAAGTTGTAAAACTAGAAAATAACCATAGGAATATTATTTTATGAATGAACTTAAAGAGAATTAATTTGCTCTCTCCAGTGTGGCTAGAGATAGCTAAGGCATCATTGCCAACAAATCCTGCTTCAAACTGACTCTCTTTATGACTCACTGCTTGATGTTGAGAAATTCACATCAACTCTTGATTGACTCAGGTCTGTCACTGAGAATTGGGAAAGATAATATTTGTTGTCTCTTGGGGTGTTGCAAGAGTGCATTAATGTGTACAGCACATTTGTAAAAGGTCCCATAGCAGGAATTCATATCCTATCTTTAGTATTCCTGGTTGAATTTAAGGTGCTCTTCTTCAATCTGAACATATAGCACAATAACTGATATACTACAGTGCTTCAATATGAAACTATTAGTAATCATAAATAGCAATTTTAAACTGTTGAGAGTTAATTGCATCAGAGTACCAGATCATCAAGCTAGACCAGTGCTACTGTCTCCTCTCACTGGGACTTTGGGTCAGGTGTGGAGCTTGGGCTCCCTCAAGCTGGGCTGGAAGAAGGTGGCCCCTGGAAAGTTTTTCGCTAACTTCATTGTATGAGTCACTTTGAGTCATTTGGCTCATTAAGTCAACATGACAGTTTGATATGGACATGACTGTGAGGCTACCAGTCCCACTCTCTCCAGTAAACCTAGTGCCGAGAGACTAAAGGATTCTCATCTAATTCATTGGAGTTGCTGTTGTTCTTCCTGGCACAGGACAGGCCCGAAGTGAGGGTTTGCTAATCTGGGATGCTGGAACTGATTATGGTTCATTTTGAAGGTACAACAGGAAAATCTAGGGAAAATAATCTTAACTTGGGGAGCAAGTAGACCTCTAAAAAATTGACTCAAATGATTGGGCCTCCTCTTCCTTCCAAAGTGCAAATAGTCTTGCACATCAGCAGCCATTCCCCTCCATGTGGATGTGCCAGGATTAAAATGTCTCATATCACTTCCTCTAGTAATTTACTATATGTATAAAGGCATGGTCATAAAGCAGTTACACAAGTGAAAAGGAGACAATGTAAGTGATGCCAGTCTACAACAAGGGTTTATTATCTAGAATCCATGACCCTTCAGGGAGGTCTAGGAAATTGCTGATATTAAACAAAATTTTGTGTGCCTGAGAGGCTTATAGCTTGGAGAAGGTTTTCAGTGAGGGCCAGGAACCAAAGAAGAACCGTGATAGAATATGTTTTGTTCCATAAGCCACTTTGGAAGTAAATCCTACATTCTCCTACATCTTCTCCCAGAGAAGTGGAGGAAAAAATATATATATACAAAAAAAGTCTCCCCAGCATTTGTTGAAGTTAACAGTAACTGCTGGTAAACAACAGCTGCTCGGCTCTGAAGTCAACAATCTATAGATAAAGCTATAGGAATAGATTCATAAACATTGTGGGAATATGTACAATGTAATTACAGTATATTGTACATGTAGAGTATACTGCCAGTGAGAAGCGAGGAAATTAAACACTGTGGTATTATTTATATGTGATAATTATACTAATGAGTTTCTTCTTAGAGCAAGTGAGGGCCTTTGTATCTTCTCTCTGCTTGTCTGTGTTCAGACCTGCAACACTCCCCTTCACACTTCATGCAGATGGCGTTCAAATTGTCTTTAGAGTGGCTTATGGATCTAAGAAGAGCAAATGGGCTGCAAGGAGCAGTGTGCTACAGTGGAAAGAGCACTGGTGCAGAGTCCAGACTCAGGCTTGGCCACTCCCAGCATCCTACTGGTCTCGAGCCCCTCACCAGTAGTCCACAGAGCCACAGCAGAGGGATGGGTCTAAACAGAACGTTTTTTTCCCCCCATTTATTTTGAAAGAATGTCATCATTTAAAGACTGGGAGAGTTCATGGGAAGAAATCCGGATTTCTCATTTCTCTAGAAAAACAGGAAGATCTGGCAATACTGGGTGTAGGTTCTGAGGGGCAGCAGCATGCAGAAGCTGAGCAGTCAGGTCCAAAGGCACTTTTTTCCAGTTCACCACTGTCAAATTTGGCTTTCCTCATTCATGTACATTCCCTGGGTAGGCCTCTGAGCATTTGATTCTTCTTTCAGCCTGTCTTTAAGGAACGGTGCCCATAACTCTGTTGCTCGCGTGCTTGGGGAATGGCTGAGAGCAGAGTGGTAACTGAGATTACAGAACAAGTAGCATCAGAGAATGGGAGGTCTAGCAGAAGTCATGACTTCAGCTGTGAGTCGGGTTTTTTCCTGACTGGGCAGTCTCTAAGAACACACAATATATGCAGTAATGCTGTGTATTGTATGCAGGTAACAAGAGGAGTCAGACTTACTAGTCTCACTGGCGTGCTTCAGTTTAGTTCAGCCCAGGTGTCAAGAGCTTTTGCCAGAAGCCAATAAAAACTGTCTTTTGTGTTTAGACAAACATCTGGATCAAAGGGGCTGAGAGCAGAGTGTGAGACACAAGTGGGATTGTTAAGGGGAAACAATTTTAATGTACAACCAGGGGCCATCAGGAGATGCTTTCACTTTTATTTGGTGCCATTTTTTTTTTTACAACAAGCTATGCAAAGGAAAATGATCAAAATAGACCATTCCAAGGAAGGAAAGGGTAGAAGGGAGAATGGAACATCCAAGTGGAAACATCTCAGTGAATATGGCGTGTTGAGAGGCCTTGAAAGAACCTAGGGATCAATGATAGATGTAATATGTAGTTGGAGAAAATAAAGCTGTATCTTATATGCATGTATTACACAATGCCAATTCCGCTTTTTTCTCTTTTGACAGATCCTGATGCAGCTCAAGCTAATAAGAACCACCAGGACGTCCGGAGCTATGTACGGCAATTAAATGTGATTGACAACCAGAGAACTTTATCGCAGATGTCGCACAGATTAGAGCCTCGTCGGCCATAGACATTTAAAGTGCCCAGAACGATGTCTGTCTCCAGTCCACAGTCTTTCAGAAATGCCATTAATGCTACTACTGACTAATTGTCTCTCGAGATTTCTCCAAAACAAGCAAAAACACATCCTGAGACATCTCAGGACTACATTCAGCTTACCAGCATCATGACAAAAGAGGAAATTATTTGACTTGCATAAAGCTTGCACACTCTAGCTTAGGAATAGCCAGTTGGTAGTCACTCTACTTTATTTCCAGTTGTGCCATTTTCTTTGCTGAAACATAAGACTCACAGGAAAAGTTTATCGCAGAAATATCAGAGTCAAGACAAGTATCAAGCCCCTGACATTTTTTCTAAGGGTGTTTACAGGGTGAGATGTGCTGCAGATGGTATTTATTTGGATATATCAGTGGTGGTATAGCTTAATATTTTTTAATTCAGCATCTTGATTTGGAGCATGGGGTTTGGGAAGGTACTGAAGAATCCACTGAGTCCAGATTTTAGGCTTCATTCTTCCATCTTCACGGTGTCTGCCTCTGCAGGAACAGAACCTGACCAATTACTGTAAAACACTATGGTTATTTAGTAATTTTCAAAGGACTGGTCTGTAATTTCTGCAGGATATATAGAATACTGTTTCTGTTTACAATGTATTTTTTAAACTTACAAATCAGGATTACGTACATAGGAATTCCACTAAGAAACTCCAAGGTTCTTAAAGTTGCCAGCATTAAGTTAAGAAAATAACATTTCAAAAGAGCACAAAATACACAAAACATTTTTCAAAATTAAAATATTTTCCTGGGCATTAAAAACCTTTATTATTGGCTAATTATTGTTACTGATTAAAAAAACTCATATTTTCTGGACTTAAATATTATTACAAACATCTTAATTTTCAGCAATTGTTTTGCACTTTCAAATAGATTGTAAATAATTCATTCAATCAATGATACAGTTATTTATTTGCTACATATGAAATATTGTGCCAAATAATTACTTTTTATTTATTTTATTTAGTATGTAATTTTGGAGTACATTTTTTCCTGTTTTCACAATTAGGCTACATTTAATGTGTAGGAATTGTATGTATATATATCTACTGTAAATAACAGCTGGTATCTTCATTAAACATAATTGTTGACAAGAAAAGGTTATGTTGTTCTCAAATCCTATATATGGGAGGGATGACCACTGGTGTGATAGGGTCCTGTATATTTTTTAATTGAATAGAATTCACATCCTCTAAAAGTCATCATTTTAAAGTATACAATTCAATGGTTTTTAATATATTCATAAAGTTGTACAACCATCATCACTATTAATTCCAGAATATTCTCATCACTAAAAGGAACCCCATAACCGTTAGTAGTCCCTCTTCATTCTCCTCTCCACACCAGTTCCTAGAAACCACTAACCTGCTTTCTGTCTCCATGGATTTACCTATTCTGGACATTTCATATAAATGGAATCATATAATGTGTAGCCTTTTATGTCTGGTTTCTTTCACTTAGCATAATGTTTTCAAGGTTCATTCATGTCACAGCCTGTATCAGTGCCTCATTCTTTTTTATGGTTGAATGATATCCCATCATATGGCTATACCTTCTGTTTGCTCATTCATCATTCACGGACACTTAGGTTGTTTTAAATTCTTGGCTATGGAATACTTAGGAATATTGCTGCTATGATGGGGTACTGGATATTAGAGCTGCCTGGTATGGGGCCTCATAACATTTCTCAGTGAGTTAAGCATTTGATAAATATTTGATAAAGAGATTTCTAAAATTTTAAAAATTCCAGACATGTATATTTTTTTCAGTTTCTTCATTTTGTTCATTTCATTTACTTTTTTATTGAAGTATATTTGATACACAATCTTATACTGGTTTCAAGTGTTCAACACAGTGGTTCAACAGTTATCCATATTATTAAATCCTCACTCTGATTAGTGCAGTTGACATGTATCTTTTTAAATGTCATAATTTTCCAGAGTATATTCCATGCTATAGTAGTCCCACAGGGTCACAGAATGTTCCTCCAAACCCAGACATACAGCTGCAAAGCAAAAAAGGAAACCAAGGTAGTATCTTCAAATAAGTTTAAAAACCATTGCATAATATACCCCATTCCTTGAAATGATTCCCAGCATTCATTAACATCTTAAGGGCTCTGAGAAGTCCTGCTATCATCCCTTTTAGCATCCCATAGTCAAGCCTGCTTTGAGAAGTGCTAAAGCAGGCTAATTAATGCCTTTATGTATTCCATTGCATAATACTTCAAAGTTCCCAGGGCCAGGGGTGTTGTTTTATGTGGTGTTACAACTCCTACTCAGACTTGAACACAATGCCTAAAATTTACTGGAGACTTTTTTTTTAAGTCACTGAATGAATTTTCTTGAAATTGTTGTTCAACATTTCTCTATCTGGTAGACCTTAATATCAGCTGCAAAGTTTTCACAATTATATAGTTTCCCTTTTTTAGATAATTTTAAAAGCTGGCAAATGAAGCTGATAGTCTATCCTTCGGTCATCCTTGCTCTTGTTTCCTGTTTACTCCTACCTTGGCCTAAAAGCTGGTATCCTGTGTCTGACAGCTTCTTTTCCCCAATTCCTTGGTGACTGACATCTTATGATCTTATTTAATTTAGTTTCAACAGTATTCAAAATTAATACATATTCCCCCATATATATTCCCCTTGGTCTTCCAAATGAGATTTACTATTGCTATACTTTATAATAAAGATGAGATTTTTAATTATCTCTGGCTTCTTTGAAAATGCATTAAACTCCATTATTCAAGGTAACACTGGTGAGGTAAAAGAATTCACACTCTGGAAATGTATAGTAGTAGCCAAGCAACCATTCCTGAAGCAGGATACACAGTTAATATTTTTAAACTTGCTAACAAACCAAAAGAAAATGAGATGACTACAGGGTCACAGGAAAGATAATGAGGTTTGCTGGAAGATGCGAAGAAGAAAAAAGAGTGTTTTTACCAAAAACGTCTGTAGAAAATTATACATTTAAGTGTTTAACATACCTGCTTAGCAAGGTCACTGGCATGGTGTACAGGAGCTAAGCTTTTCCAGCAATTTCGGAACACCATGCAGGTTAAATAGATTTCTCCTGAATTCAGTGGCATTTCCTCTTAAATACGTGTGCAGATCAATGACTACCAGTGTGTGAAAATTAAATGCCATTCTGGTTTCAGTCTCTGTTTATAATATATTTTTTTAATCAGCATAGAATACACACTGTGGTAAAAATGAACCTCTCCTTTGAATAGCTTTCCTTTTACTGGCAACTTAGAATATATTACTCTCTTGCTTCAGAATCATCTTAATTTTCTCTATTTGTCCTACATGGAGAAGAGTGTGGTATTAGATGGGCAAGTTAGGGCACCATTGACTTACAAACTGGAAAAGAACCCTTCCTGTAATTAGATATTGTTAGTTAACTTTTTATTCATTTCATAGCAAATGCCAGGCCATCTTTGAGCTCAGGATGCAATGGCGAGAAAAACTAGATAGTCCTGCCATTTCGGAGCTGGAGGCCGCTGCAAGGGCCTGGCCAGGCCTTTAAACTTCCAAGGTGCTTGCTTCACATGGCTAATACAGTATAAATAAACACAGCTGAGCCTGGAGACATCAGAAGGTTCTCTCATTAAAGAAAATAAATGTCCTAAAACAAAACAAAACAAAACTAGATAGTCCAATCAGAGTGGGGGAGAGAGAAGAGTAATCAAATAATATAAAACACTTCCAAGAAGGAATGTGGTGTTGTAAACACATGTAGTAAGGGGATTCAAGCTGATCTGAGGTGAGGGAATGTTTCCCATGGCAGCTGCAGTTGACCTGAACGTTGAAGCATGAGCATGCTGAGCAGAGAGAGAAGAGTGTGTCTAAGCAGGAAATAACCCTGGCGTGTGAAACACCAGAAGCTCCCTGCAGGGGAGCCGAGAGAACGGCGACATGCTGCACAATGTGCTGGAGACCTCAGTGTGCAAGGCCTTGCAGGCCTTTCTAAGGAGTTTCATCTTCTACCCCAAAGCAGAGGGCAGCCGGGAAAGTGGTTGAGGCAGGGGTTGCATTCCCAATGGTAGAGCAGGGCAATTGCTTTCTGTCACCACACTACAGATGAAGCCTGGCATCATCCCTAATACCTTAATTATTTTATTATGCAGGTTTAACAGTGGGGCCGAGGGAATTGCAGATATGGCAAATATTAAAAAGCATTGGTGGACCCAGATACCAGCCCAGAGTCAAACACCATCCCTCCTCCTGACTTAGTCCACACTGGGCCAATTTTTAATTTTCTGTTGTGGTAAAATACACATATCATGAAATTTATCATTTTAACCATTTTCAAGAATACAGTTCAATGGCCTCACCACTATCCATCTCCTGGACTTTTCATCAACCCAGATGAAAACTACCTGTTACACAGTGACTCCCCACTTCCTGGTAACCACAATGCCGCCTTTGGCTCTGTGAATTTAGAGATTACCGCACAGGAGGGGAGCTGCACGGTGTTTGTTGTCCTTTTGTGTCTGGCTTGTTACAGCACATTTTCAAGGTTAATCCATGTTAGAGCATGTGTCAGAATTTCCTTCCTTTTTAAGGCTGAAAAATATTGCATTTCATGGATGTACTACATTTTGTTTATCCATTCATCCATCATTTGGTTTGTTTCCACTTTTTGGCATTGTGAATAATGCTGCTATGAACATGGGTGTACAAATATCTGTTTGAGTCTCAGCTTTCAATTCTTTGGATATGCACCTAGAAGTAGAACTGCTGAATTGTATGGTATACTGTGTTTAATTTTTGAGTGACTACCATACTGTCTTCGACAGTTGCTGCCTCATTTTATGGGCTCTATTTGACATAGCCCATGCTCACCTACATCATCTCCTTGGAGACCGAGGCTGTCGATGTGAGGCATAGCTGCTGGGAAAAGCAGTGGCCAGGGGACCCAAGGTTCAGTATGTGAATGTCCAAGCACAGAGCAGAAGCTGCTACTTGGAACTGCTCCTTTAAGCCATGGCAGCCCTCAAGGCAGTAACAGCCCCAGAACTTTGATTACCCTTGCTACCCTGTTGGTTATTATATGAGACCACCATTGCCTGTAGCCTGACACTACAGGAGGGGAGGACTGGAGGAAATGTTACTAACCCCAAGAGACTAAGGGCATGGGAATGGGGAAATTTCCTGTCTCACTTCAGTTCCTTTGCACAGGCTTGTCTGGCAGCTAAAGAAATTCAGGGGTGATGTTCTGGGAAGCCATGATCTTTGTTCTTGGGGCAATTTAAATTTGGAAAGATTGGAGCCATAGCCCTGCTCTAAAGCTAGGTGATCACTAGGCACTCTGAGCTCATGGGTGCTACTGGCATGGGCACACCTGGGGAAGAGAGAGAGGCTGGGGCTAGAGCATTGGAAAGCTGCCCAATTCTGTAATAGTCTCCTGTCCTCAGCACTTGCAGGGCGGAGTCAGACCCTTAGGCAAGGAGAGTCAAAAAAAGTGGAATTCTACAATAGCAGGACCAGCATTGGAGAATAATTGGAGAAATGTCAGCATAAAATTCTTTAGAACAGGTTTTTGCAGCTCCTGAGAATAAAGATGATTGGAAGACCCTCATGAGGTATCCATTCACTTAGCCAAAGGCAGGTGGCAAGAATCTCTAGCATGATAATAATAGGGACCTGGCATGAATGGAGGAGAACTGATGGTTCCAGTAGTAGTCCTGACATTTTAGGACCCAGAGGCAGCCTCTAGTGATTCAGCCTCCCCAGAGGAGAGGAAGTCTCCAGGCAAGGAGACACAGCAGTTCTGGGGATAGGCTTGTCCTGCACCAGCCAAGGTGCAGCAGCTTTAGGAGGGTGAAGAAAGAGGTGGTTCAGTGAAAAGATAAACCATATTAGCAAGTGTTTCTATCACTGTGTGCATTAGAGATGGTTCTCTGGA